AGAGGTCTCCAAAGATAACCACATCCTAACCCCATCCTAACCCCCGGACCCTGGGATTGTGTTCCCTGGAAAATGGGAATTAAGGTTGCAGATGGAAATGAGGCAGTCATGGGCTGACCACAAGAGGGTAGATCATCCCAGAATATCCAGGGACCCCTGACATCACGAGGATCCTTGAAAGTGGAAGAAAGAGGCAGAAGAGAGCTTCAGAGGGACGCGGCAGGAGAAGACATGACTGGTTCTGCTGGCTTTGCAGATGAGGAAGGCCTGTGAGCCAGAGAGGGCCAGTGGCCCGCAGCTGGAAAGGCACGGAGGGAGCCCGCCCAGGGCCCAAGGAAGGACACGGTCCATGACGCCTGCAGCTCTGCCCCTGAGGACTGGGTCAGACTTCCAAGAAAATAAATTCAAGTTGTTTTAAGGCATGAGGTCCATGGCCATTTGTTATCACAGCAGCAACACGAAATGAATCCAGTGAAAGGCTGGTTTTCAAGGAATTGGTCCATTACTTCTTCAACGGTCTCGGATGGGTTTTACAACTTCTTGGGCAGGAGCTGTCCCAGTATTCAGTCACCGTCCTTTGCTTGTAGGGCCTGTCATGGCAGTCCTCAGTCTTACTCCTGCTACTGGCAACTGGTGTCTTCTCTCTTACTCAAAGAACTATCTTTTAATTTCATTGGTTTTCTCTAGTTTTTGTCTTCGATTTTATTGGTTCCGCTCTTATCTTTAATATGTTTTTTTCTTCTACTTTCTTTGGGTTTAATTTGCTCTTTTCACTAGTTTTAAAAAATTACCTTTGCTTTTTTAATATGTTATTAACTCTATGTTTATATCATTTCAGTTTTTTGTTTGTTTTTTTGAGTCGGCGTCTCACTGTGTCACCCAGGCTGGGGTACAGTGGCACGCTCCCGGCCACTGCAGCTTTGACCTGCTGGGATCAGGCAATCCTTCTGCCTCAGCCTCCAAGTAGATGGAACGAACCACAGGCATGCACCACCACACCTGGCTAATTTTTAAATTTATTGTAGAGATGAGGTCTTGCCATGTTGCCCAGGCTGGTCTCGAACCCCTGGACTCAGGCAATCCTCTCCCCCTCAGCCTCCCAAAGTGCTGGGATTACAGGTGCATGCCACCATGCCCAGCTAATCATTTCAGTTTTCAAAACAGCTGTGTTTAACAGCAAGCTGGACAGGCTTCCAGCCTTCCATGGCTCCCACAGACGGCTCCCACCAGTGGCTCCCCAGGCCCCCAGCCCTGCCCTCTCCACCCCCTTCCCTGGGCTCCAGACTCTGTCCCCAGCCGCCTCAGCAGCATCTCCTGCTGACTTCCCCACATAAACACATCCAGGCTACGTCCACCACACGGCCCCACCCTCCCCTTCTTCTTTTTTTAAAGATGTGGGATACAATTCAGGATTAGGGACACAAAGGGCCCCATTCCTCCCTCTGTCCAGCCCACCCTCTGCCACAGTTCCACAAGCCCGTGGGCTCCAGCCCCCGTGAGGCTGCGGCTCCACCGCCCCCTCCCTCCAGGCAGCATCCCTCTGCACTGGCCTAGGGCACCGTCTGGTCAGCCCTTCCCACTAGGCCCTGTCCACTCACCTTGAGATCCCGCCCCGGGCACCTTGCTCTGCCCGTGCCTGGAGTTGCCCACGCTCACGGGGCTGCAGGGGGCCCTGTGGGAGGAGGGCCTGTCAGGCTGCTGCCCTGCCCGCAGCACTCCACGGCCCCCTCGAAGAGAACTCCGCCCTCTTGCAACGCTCTCGACTCTGGCTCTCGTCGCCTTCTGAAGTCCCCAGCCACGTCCCTGCTGGAGGACCCAGGCCCAGCCACGCCTTCTGCTGCACCCCTGTCCGCACGCTCTTCCTTAGGCCTTCCCAGCCCGACACGGCCCACCCTCGCCGTGCTCTGGAGCCTGGTTCCTGCCCTCGTGCGCCGTCATGTCGTGGTGCTTCATGGTGCTACCCTCTCTCCTTGGGTCCTACAGCCTCTTCCTGCCCGGGGCAGCACCTGGCTTGTTGTCCTCAACCAGATGTGCTGAATGGACAAACGGCAGCAACCAGGACAACGCCAAACCCCGTCCCTGCTCCCCGCTCCCGAGGACGAGGGTCATCCTGGCATGCCTGTGCTGGAGGACACTGGCCTTTGTGGCTCCACCCTGGGCCACTCGGCCTCTCACCCGGCACTTCCTCCAAATGGTCCACTCTCCCGCAGGCCTTCCCGAATCTTCTCAGCTGAAACCCTCCCCTGGCTTCCCTGGCTTCCCCTTCAAGCATCAGCTGTGCTGGGTTATCACTGGCTCAGGGAGCCCTTCCTCGGCTTCCCTCCTGTTCCGACTGCCCCAGCCTTCCCATCGCAGGACCTGTCACAGCGTTCCTGTCCCCACAAGCACCCTGTGACCCTCTCAGTGGTGGTGCCTGTGACTTGCTGACCTCAGAGCCCGGAGGCCTGACACATACTTATGCTCCACGGACCTAGTTCGAACGAAAGAACCAACGGGCAAGTGAACTCCTACAAACCAGTCTGTTGTGGGCCGGGGTGGGGGCCTAGGCCCGGCATCCTCCCATGCAGAGGGCCTGGTCCTGTCCAGCACAGGAGCAGGGACCCAACAATCAGCCAGCCTGCAGGGCACCGCAAGTCACATGAGAGGGGAGGGCAGACAGGAAAGCAGTCTCCAGCCCTGTGGGAAGAAACTGCGCTGCCCCACATTCTGGAGGAATGTCCCCAGTGGAAATTGAGCCCTGGTCCCACCCCTTGGTCACACATTTCCAGGATGATATCCGAAGGGAAGGCAGAGAAAGGCTTCCTTCCAGACCTGCAGTCAAAAGTCAGTGCTGAAATGGGTTGAAACCAGAACTCACCCCACAAGCAGTCTGAATGGAACCCTGGGACACTCCGCTGTCACCTGTCTCCTAGGACGGGCTGCTTAAGGCCCAGTACAAACCCAGATGAGGCCAGGGAGCAGGCTGTCGATGGCCCACACCTGATCCCCATGCCCCGTCTGCCTGTGTGAAGGCGAAGGGGGGACACAGTCCCACCCTGGCCTGGGACGCAGCAGCTTGGTACAGGTCCAGCCCCCCCTGCAGCCCCCCGCTGCTGCTTCCTCGGCCCCAGAGGTGTCCCCAAGAGCCTGTGGCCTGAAGTCTCCCTCTGGCTTCACAAACCTGCCATTTTGTGCAGCACACCCGAGGGCAGAGGGCAGAGGGGACGCTGGGGACCTCACTTAGGCTCTTGCCGGCGGCACTCCTTCCATCGCAGGTGGAAGGAGTGGTCACAGAGGCCTCAGGGCCCTGGAGTCCCCAGCCCTGTCCTGACACATTGGGGCCAGCATGGCCTCCCTCTACACCCCCCATTCTTGCCAGCCCTCGTTCAAGGCCACCTCTGTTCTTACGGCCTCGGCTTCACCCCTGCAAGGACGAGGCCAGACCAGATGCATCCCCAACCCAATCCCAAGCCCTTCCATCTCCCAGCCTGTGGTGGAGGGCCCCCACCCAAAAGTCTTCCCTTGCCTCTTTCTTAAATCCACCCACAGAGCCACTGACACCATCTCTATGTATCTCTTGACTTTGGCCTTAGCCAGGCCCTGGCGCTCCTTTCTGACCCCTGCCCAGCTCTGCCGAGGCCACATCTGCCCGGCCATCTCTCCTGGCCCTCCCACCACCACCTGTCCCGTCCTAGGCCACAACTCAAGACTTCCCAGCCCGGTCAGCATGGCATGCCCAGCTCTGCCAAGCACAGGCTGTGTGATCCCAGGCAGATAAATCATTGTGCCTCTCTGAGCCGTGATTTCCTCATCCGTAAAACACACTTCAGAGACTCCTGAGAGGATGTACAGGCCGTGAGGCAGCAGGTGCCTGAAGCTGGTAAGCTAAGCCTCATCCCCACAGTGCCTGAACCCTGCGGCTTTCTGCCTGGGGCCGCCCGCTTCCCACCCTCTCAGAAGCCACAATGCTGCTCCCAAGTTCCTGGGTGCTGTGTCGTGCCATAAGGTGGGCGGGAGAGGGGCTGAGAAGAGCCGGGGACTGCAAGGAAGGAAGCCCCCCCTTGACCCCATGTTTCTCTGGGCCTCAGTTTCCCCTCAGCTCAGTGAGACTCTGATTTCTACAAGCTAGGCCTGGAGCCGGGAAGAAAAGAGTGCTGCCCCAGACCGGCCTTCCCAACTTTACCTCTGGAAGCTGGAGGGACTGCCCGAGCCAGCAGGAGTGAGCCCCTGGTATACCAGGAAAAGCTGGAAAACAAACACACCAGAATCCAAATCGGAAAGGCCCAGGGCTGGGTTGCCATGGTAACCTGCAGCCGGCTCCCAGCCAGCCTGTCTGGGGTGGGGGCTGGGACTCGCCAGGCTTGACTGCCCCCACTTCTGAGACCTCCTCCCCGGGCCTGGCCCAGCTCCCGCTTGGACCCAGCAGAGGGACAGGGCCACAGAGGCACCTCTGTCCTGTTATGCAGGCTGGGCAGGCCCGGCTCCCACTGCCAGCCTTCTCCCAGAGGGAGGCCCATCCCACGGGCCTCCCAAGTTTAGCAGGCCACACGCTGCGTCCTTCCAGCATGCAGGCCACAGCACCAATGGCTCCAGAGGCCATCAAGCCCATCAGCCACCTGAGCTGACACGGCACCTGTGTGTGGAGACACCTCAGGCTTCTGCCAGGGCCAGGGGCCTCGAAGCTATCAGGTGGGCACCAGGAGAGGGGGCACTGGTGTGGGGCTTATGCATGTTTTCTCTTCTCTAACAGCGCTCTCTTTTAACAGATGAGAAACAAGCTTAAAGAAGTTAAGTGACTCCCCAAGTTCACAGAGTGGCTGTGTGGTTTCCAACTCCCAAGCCCAAATCCTGAACTCATGAAGTCTGCTCCTGGATGCCCAAGGCTGAGCACCCAGACATCACCAGGGCCCTCAGGTGTCCATTACTCAGTGACTCCACTTGACCGCCCTAGGGCTCACCGGCACAGCCCCCAGCCGCAGGGCTGTGCCCACCTGGCATAGACACATAGTAGACAAGAAAAGGGCCTGCACATCTCCATTTAATGGCCAAGCCAGCACTGCCCAGATGATGCCTGCCTGCCTGATGTCCCCTGAAGAGCCCACCCAAGCTGGTGCCCGTCAGCCTCACTAGCAGCGTCCCAGTCCAGGTCTGGAGGGGGCTCATCTCAGCTCCCTCAGCAAGCTGTCGACAGAGCCCAGCAGCTCCCGGAAGTAGCCCTCATCCTCGCCGTCCTGGAGCTCCAGGCTGGCCAGAGCCTGGTACTCGGCCTGCAGGCTGACCAGTGTCCTGCTGAGCTGGGGGTCCTGACGGTAGTGGTCCCGGCAGGGAGCCAGAAGGGCGCCCAGTGTCTGCAGCACCTTTTCACGGGCATCGTGCCCAGGCAGTGCCAGGAGGTGGGCTATGATCTGGCACCAGCCCTGTTCCTGCAGGCCTGGTAGGAGGTGCACTTGGCGATACTGTTGCAGCTTCTCTGGGGGTGTCTCCCGGGTCAGCTCAGCCTCCTCCTCAGCAAACATCTGCCGTCCATCCAGCCAGGCGAGGCAGGTGGTAGGGAGAGAACACATAGGGAGCAGTCAGCACACACCTACAGTGCCGCCCTTCCCACACAAGGGCCTAACCATGAGGACCTCCTTCCCGCTCCAGCTCTCAGGCCCCGAAGTCCTCACAGGAGAAGGCTCACAGACTCATGGCTTCGCACTGTGCTCCCCACCCACCCATCTGTCCATCCATTTGTCCATCCAGTCACCAACGGAAACTCCTATGCAGTGCCAGTTGCTGGAGAGACCAAGACGGAGCCACAGTTTCTGCTCTCAAGGAGCTCAGAATCTAGCAGGAGAATAAAAATTAACTGAATAATTCCTAAATATTAAGGTTTAATCTAACAGTGCAGTATGGACAGGCTGAATTCAAATTCCTGCAGTGTGGTGTGGGGCTTATGCCCCACATGTTTTCTCTCCTTTAACGGCACTTCCTTTTGACAGATGAGAAACAAGCTCAGAGAAGTTAAGTGACTCTCCAAGGTCATAGAGCAGCTGCGTGGTTCGGAGTTGGGGGTTTCCAACTCCTGAGCCCCACTCATGAACCCATGGAGTATGCTCCTGGATGTCCTGGGCTGAGCACCCAGACGTCACCAGGGACCCTCTCCAACCAGCTGAAGGGCTGTGCCTGGTGCTCAGCCTCCTTAAGACCCAAGCTGTAGGCACCCTGGGCTCACATGCTGCTATGCTTTGAATGTGCCCCCTAAAGTTCAAGTGTTAGCACCTTAATCTCCAATGCACCAGTGCTGGGGGGGGAGCGGACTAGTGGGAGGTGTCTGGGCCAGGAGGCTCCACCAGCGTGGGTGGATTTTTTTTTTTTTTTGAGTCAGACTCTCACACTGTCGCCCAGGCTGGAGTGCAGTGGCATGCACACAGCCACCGCAGCCTTGGCCTGCTAGGCTCCAGTGATCCTTCCACCTCAGCTTTCTAAGTAGCTGGAACTACAGACATGCAGCACTACGCCTGGCTGATTTTTTGATTTATTGTAGTGATGAGGTCTCACCAAGTTGCCCAGGCTGGACTCGAACCTGCGGGCTCAGGCAATCCTCTCGCCTCAGCCTCTCAAGGTGCCGGGATTATAGGCGTGAGCCACGGTGCCTGACCAGCATGGATTAATGTCATCAGTGCAGGAGTGGGTTGCAGTGGGCGAGCAGGCTGCTGTAAAGCAAGCCCGGCTCCTCGTGCTCTTTCTACACACGCCCTTGCTCTCCCACCTTCCTTGATGCTGTGATGTGGCACGAAGGCCCTCGCCAGATGTGGCTTCCCAGTCCTGCACTTCCCAGTTTCCCAAATCGTGAGGCAGATAAACGTCTTTTCTTTATAAATCACCGAGTCTGTGGTACTCCGCTATAGCACCAAAAAACAGACTAAGATACCCGGTCTGGGTGATTCTGTGATAAACATGCGCCTGAAAGCACTGCAGGGCAGGGACTACAGACCCGGCACAGCACCCAGCAGGGCAGGCACCCAATATACACTTGTGGAAGGACATGGTGGGCAGGGGTCCCCTGTGGCCCTTCAGCTTCATGGATGTACCAGAGGCCACAGGATCATGGCTGCAGGTAGGCTCCTCACAGGATGGTGGCCACAGGTAGGCACCTCCACCTCTCTTGGTGGAGGCCCCGTCACAGACCAAGGCACAGAGGAGGAAGTGCCTGGAGCCTGGCAGACCATAGAAGGGGTTCACTGAGGACCCCAGCACTCTGAGAGGCAGGTCCACACACCCCATGGGAGCTCCACGGTTCCACTGAAGTATCCCCACACTGATGCCCTTGTGGTGCCTGATACCCCAGTGTGACAGCTGATGTGCCTACACCTTCAGGTGGCTCTGGTCACACCCCCAGTCTGGCTAGTTCTTCAGTCTTTCTTAGGAACCACACGAACAGAGAAGCCCTAACAGGTTCAACCACAGAGTACAGTCTGGCCCAAAACTCGGGCTGAAATACCTCCACTGTCCCCCCAGAGAAGGATGGCCATCTCTGTGAATTTGCAGAGAGAAGCCAGTCCTCCCTTTCCTGTCACAATAGCACCCCAAAGCCTCTACAGGCAGGCTGTGGGCCAGCTGACTTAGGGCAGCTTTGGTGAGACTGTTTGGTGGTCGCATTCTGGCAATGGGCCAAGGCTACAATGCCCAGGATGCCAGCACTGGGGGCAGCAGAAACACACACCCACACCAGAGAAGTGAGATCAGCTTCTCGTGGGAAACGTCCAGCCAACGTACACAGCCTTCTCCAGGCTCACAGGCCCATGCTCAGGACGTGGACTGCACCCAGGCCTTATTAGTTGGATCTAAGCACCACATGGCTGCCTGCTATTCTGAGAAACTAGATTTCGGCAGCTTGGTCCAGGAGAAAGACAGAAACAGACTGAGAGACAAGGCAGGCAGAGAGAGGCAGAGACGAGGGAGAAAGAATGACTGACAGAGGCAGCTGTACAGTCCCAACCCTCTGTCTGGGAGAAGGCCCAGGAGGGTTATGCAGAGCAGGCGAGGGGCCCTAGCCTCCAAGGCTCACAGCAGTTCCTGTGGCTTTTCAGCCCTGCTCCACCAACCAGCGGGCGCCTGCTCTGGGGCATGTGTGGCCCAGGAGAGGCCTGGCTGCTTTTCCTCTCTCCTCCTTAATTACGATGCTTCTCAGGCTTGCAAAGAGGGCTAGGTACTGAGTCTTCTCCCAGGTGGCAAGCAACTGGGGTCTCAGAGGCTCTCAGGGCAGCCGTTCTGAGCCCCTACTCAGAGCAGACGAGGCCCCTCCAGGCTTCTAGAACCCTAAAAGTTAGCACCATTTGGAGGAGCTGCTGGCTCTGCAATGGCTCCCAGGTGCAACTGCTCCACCTGCCCGCTCCTCACCATCCCCACGCTGGGCCCTCCATCCACGCAGGGCCTAGTCTGCTGTAGGGCTTGAACTGCACTGACCGGCCAGGCTTGGTGGCTCAGCCTGCAATCCCAGCGCTTGGGGAGGCCAAGGTGAGTAGATTGCCTGAGCCCACGGGTTCGAGACCCGCCTGGGCAACTTGACGAGACCTCATCTCTACAATACGTCAAAAATTAGCCGGGCATGGTAGCGTGCGCCTGTAGTTCCAGCTCCTTGGAAGGCTGAGGCGGATGGATCGCCGGAGCCCAGCAGGTCCAGGCTGCGGTGGCTGGGAGCGACCGCTGCACTCCTGCCTGGGTGACAGAGTAAGACTCCAACTCAAAAAAAAAGAGAGAATTGCACTGACCCCTCTGCCCGCACACTTGGCCCTGACCATGGCCACAGTACCACCCCCACTCCTACCCAGCCCTCGCAGGACATCTCTCATGTCTTCCAGATCTCTTCCATCCATCCATCCATCAGGAGGAAAGACAGGAAGACAGATGGACAGAAGGGACTTAGGAGGGGCCTGGGTCAGATGGCCAGAAGCAAACACAGAGCAAAACGAAGGGGAGGCAAGACACTCACCTTCTCAGTGACCAGATCGTAGAGCAGGGTGACCACGCGCACAGCCAGCACCTCGGCGCCCTTTTCCTGCACCAGGTTCCTCAGTACCTGCAGCCCCCCCAGCTTCAGGAACTGCTGCTGGGCATAGGGGAAGTGGCGTAGCAGTGAGCACAGCGCAAACAGGACCTGCGGTGGGAGATGGGGCAGATGGGGGCCGTGCAGAGCCGGACCTGTCCCAAGGCCCAAAACAGAAGCTGGGGTACCCCACCAGCCCAGTCCCCATTTCTCTCAGCCCTATCCAACACCTCAGTACAGCTACACCACAGAACCCAGGACTGTGTGGCCAGGAGGGACCTTTCCACACAGCCAGTGGGCAAAGGACGGGTAAATAGAGGCCAGGGGCAGAAAGCCAGGGGTAGAGCCCATGGCTGCACCCCTGGAGCTGCCCCCAGGCCTGCAGATACCTCAGCAGGCTGTGTCTACTTCAGTTGAGTGTGACCATGCCCCTACACCACTCTGCGGATGACACTCAGGCCCCTAAGGGTTCAGGTCCCACAGGCATGCTGGGGCTGGGCAAGAGGAGGGCTGGAAACACACCTTCTTCTTCACAGTGAGCGGCTGCTCTGTGGCCAGGAGGACCAGCAGCTTCTGCAGGGCTCCCCCTTCGATGGCCTCCACCTGGACTTTTGGGTTGCTGGAAAGGAAGCACAGAAAGCATGAGGGATCCAGGGGCAGGGAGCTGGCACCACACTCACCATTCCTGGGGAGAAACAAGGCGCGCAGCGGGAGGTTCCCACAAGGCGCAAGCTAAAACTCCACTGGTGAAACAAAGGCTACCTGGTATAGACCCGCCTGGGCCAAGGATCCCATGCCAGTCCCCAACTCCCTAGCAGACAGTGGGCCAGGGTGCGCTGGGAAGGTGAATCACTTCTACCATTTTAAGATCACCCTGACGCCAAACATGCCACTTCAGTGTCCCTCCTATGGGAAGCATTTCTCACGGCTTCCCAAGCCAGCACTGAATTCCTCCTTCCATGACCCCAGGCACATCGCACACTGGGGGGCAGTCACCAACGGGCCTGCTCCCCCCTGAGGACGGAGCTTTTTCAGTTCCTGGCCAGGGCCCACTCCTCTCCTCTCCTGGATCAGCACTCAGACAGCATTTGGGAAACACTCACAGGAGAAGGCAGGCAGACAGTGCAAGGCCAAGGGAGGCTCTGAACACCCAAGCGGATCCTAAAACAGGACCAGCGCAGCCTCCCCAGGCTCTCCACTTCATGATAGCAGTACTGGGATTTCCTCTGACCCGTAATCGCAGTGTGCAGCGCACAGACTGCCATGTCCCTGGACAATAGGGACTGAGTGAATACACACATGCACACAACCATGAACAAACCAGCAAATTGGCAACACCAGAGCACTCAAGACCTAGAGCTACCTCCAGAACTCCTCTCCCCATTGTGGGCTAGGGAAGCAGGGATGCGACTTCAACAAACATCCCAGGCCCAGTCCTTCTAGATGAAGGGATGGGGTCATCCTCAGGGCAGGGTGCCAGATAGGGACTGAAAGGACCCAGAGCCGAAAGTCATTTTTTATCTTGTATTTACCTTAATACAATGACGAGAAAGTAGAAGCTATGTTTTGGAGAAATGCATAATTTAGGAAAAATTCACCTTGCCGACTATGTCTTTTCAGAAACACAGACTTCCAGGTATCAGAGGTATCTCATAGTGGCAACCAAGCTTGCCTAGAGTAAAAGGAATTTACAAGGCCTAAGACATCGTGCATTGGGCAAGGATTGTAGAAGTCGTGAAACTTGTAATTACGAAAGTTATGACCGCTCAGAGGGGGAGCAGGTGGGGATTCGATCTTCCAGTAGATTGGGCACTATCTACAGGAAAGCCAAGGATCCCCTGAAGCTGCCCACTGGGAAAGCCTAGGAGATAAGGGGAAGCGCCCCCTCCATTAGCTCTAAGGAATGTCATTTGGGGAGGTGCAGGAGCACTGGAATCCTTTCTCTAGGGGCTGTGGTAATGTGGGCAGACATTAGGGGGTCTCTGTGTCACAGGATCTCCAAGACATTTGCAGGTGGAAGTCACAATAGTCACATCTACCAGATTGCAACATCTCCAGGGGAGAGGATTTAAGCCAGGACTCAGGGGAGGTACAGGACCACACTCATCTAGAGTCCACTCTCTGTCTGTGGGGAGTGATCTTTTCTTAAATAAATCATATCTTCTTTCACCTCTTTGTGTATTGCAATTCTTTGCACTACTCGGATCTCTGGGGTGCCAGCATGCAACTCCGGCTTGCCAGCTCCGGCGGTGCTACACCTCCCCTCTCTCTCACCTCTCCATCTGTCCGCCCTCAACCTCTCTGTGCCCTAACAGGGACATGGCTGGGAACCCCCATGGGATACGCTTTTCCTGGCTCCTTGCTTTCCAAGCTCACATCAGTGGTCAACTAAGGAGCAAACGCCAAGCACAGGGCCCTGTCTGGCAGGGCCTATGAAAGGTCAAGGTTCCCCACTCAGAATCCTTCGTGTGAGGGGGCAGGCATACATAAAGCCTGAGGCCAGCAGCGAGGGGAGGGGCCAGGCCAGAGGCCAGACAGTGGCTGTCACACCCACCCAGACAGCCCACAAAGGGCACCAAAGGCTATCTCTTAACCAGGCAGCCCTTGTGACATCCTGGAGAGTGAGGAAGGGTATGAGGACATGAAGACAAACCAGAGGGAGTTGGCTCCTGATCCAAAACACAGCAAAAAATAGACACAGATAACGAGAGAGATCACATTCCTATCACGGCCCACAGGAGAGGGCCTGGCACACAGCAGGCACCCCCAAAAGCTGGCCAAATGGAAGCAGAGGGGGCCCAAGTCATTCCTAGAAGACGACGCACCCCTTTCTATTCCCACCAGGAACCAGCCTCAAGATTAAGCAAACCCAGCATGCTGAACCTGTTTTCCTTCTGTAGAGCTGGAGGCTCCTTTGTGCCTCTGTGTCCCTTTGTGTCTTCTCAGCCAAAAAGAATGCACAGAGCAGGTGCTGGTCTGTCCCACTGGAACCCCACCCTTGTGTCGGAGGAGCAGCCTAGAGATGCACCCGAGTCCCTGGGGAAGGGAGGCTGACAGCTCCTCTCCAGATAGGCAGGGGGGCACCGGCGTGGGGGGGCCTGGGAGCTGAGCCTCTCCCCTGCCCCTGCTCCCCCAGCTTGCAAAAGGCAGCTGCTTCATCAAAGCGTGAGCTAATTAGGGCCATCTCTGCCGTCATGTGCCTGAGGAACACTCACCCACGACAGGCAGGGTCTAGGAAGAGAAGACTACCGGAATGAGAAACTCATATAAACATCAAATGTTGCCTCCCAAAGAAGGGGGGCTGTGAGGCCCAACATCACACCAGCCTCAGGGGCCACCGAGGAGCCACAGCCCTCTTGAGCCCATGAAGCAGCACAAGGCCTTCCAAAGACAGCGCAAAGCTCAGCACAGCACTGCATCATCACGGCCCCGGAGCCCTTCCATTTTCTGCACTGGAACCAGGAGGTGGGCTGATGTGAGCCAGGAACTACTGACAGCCATGCCAGCAACAGCCTGGTCCCACCCACTCTCCCTCCCAGGCAGCCTCCCTCCCTTCCCCATAGAAGAAAGCCCATTTAGAGTAGGAGAGAACAGCTTAGACACTGGAGAAGCGAACCAGAGCAAAAAAGAGAGAGCATGATGACTTTCTGTAAGTTGTAGAAATCACTTTCCTACGGCAATAAATCCACTTTTTCACCTGCAGCCAAGTCCCGAAGGGCCTGGGTGGGTAGAGCAGGCCTGCAGGCCAAACATGGGTTTATGGCAGAGCCTGGCCTGGGCAGCCCTGGGCCCTCATCCTGCCTGGCCTCCTCACATGACCAGCTTAAACAAGGTGCCCATGCTAGCTCTCGATCCACTGCAGGGCTCCCACAGCTCCAGAAGTTCCATAAAACCCCCTCTGGAACAAGCCTTTCAGTGCTGCCAAGCCAAGGGGTTGAGGAAACAGCAGAGGGAGGGAAAGATCCAGCCTGCACGTCTAGATGCCTCTCAGGCCTCCAGGCAGGGTCAACAGAGCTGGGTGACCATCAGAGAGCAGCCTGCCCCCAGGGCAGAATCTCCTCCTTAGAAACAGCCTCTCAAGCCAGGCTTGGTGGCTCAGCCTGTAATCCCGCGCCTTTGGGAGGCTGAGGTGAGTGGATTGCCTGAGCCCGCGGGTTCGCGACCCACCTGGGCAGCGAGACCTCATCTCTACAATAAATCAAAAAATCAGCTGGGCATGGTAGCGCATGTCTGTAACTCCGGCTACTTAGAAGGCTGAGGCGGAAGGATTGCCGGAGCCCAGCAGGTCGAGGCTGTGGTGGCCGGGAGCGGCCACTGCACTCCAGTCTGGGCGACAGAGTGAGACTCCAACTCAAAAAAAAAAAAAAAGAAAGAAAAAGAAACAGCCTCTCTCTCCCCAGGCAGTGCAGCCTTGGGCTCCGGATGCTCACAGCTGTGTGAGTTGGGGAGGGGATGCCCAAAATAGCTCAGAGTGAGGCCTAGGGATGTGCCAGGGCCAGGCCTAGAAGACCTGACAGCAATCTTGAGAACAATGGTTGTTTGGCCTTGGGCAAGTCCCTTCACTTGGCTTCCTCACCTATGAGGCAAAGCTAAGCCTACCTTGTGTCAAACAGAGTAGCAAATGAATGCCCAAGTGCTAGCCAATGAATTACGGCCAAAAGAGTAAAATTACAGCGGGTTTGCTAGGCAAGAGGCCAGACCATCTCCTCAGGAACACGGCATCATTCAGCCCAGATGCCTCAAGCACATATTGTATATGCCGGCCCCATCCTCCTTCAGACTGCAGACTGGGACCAGAGCTGTGGCCTAGGCCTGGAGGGGACCCGTCCTGCTTGCTGGGTGTCCTGACAGTTGGGAATCCGATTGAGTTAATAGGGCTGGGGCCTGGCATGCTTCAAAGTGACATCAGTGGCGCTAGTGTGCTCAAAGTCAACAGAATATTAAGGACGTAGCTCATCTCCGACGCGACAAATGAGAATAAACCTTGTTCAGGGCTAAGCCTGCTGGACTAAATAAATACCATTAGCACTTGGATTACTGGGATGTTCACAATCAGCAGGCGAGTCAGCTGTCTGTGTGCAGAGGGAGGCAGCAGCTGCTACTCTGTAAATCTTGGGGGAGACGGATGGGGGTGGGGCAGACTGCAGAAATGGAAGTGATTGCATTTGCAGAAACCAAAGAGTTTGGGTCAGGGTGACAGCAATGTGGGCAGACTGCCAAAAGTCAGAGGTCATATTTTAGCTAACTGAAGCTGAGCAAGTGTCTGGGTGGGAGGAGTGAAGGCTGATCTTAGGGAAAGCAGCCCAGCTTGGCCGGGGGCCCACAAGATCGCTGCCCAACAAAGCCTGGAGTGCCCTTCTCCACCCCTGGCACTCAGGACTTGCTACCTCATTTCAAGTGCAATATGAAAATGTGAGGCTTCTTGTAATAAAACTATTAGGAATTTCAAGACAGTGAGGGCAGAGCACTAAGCCAACCCTGGGCCCTGCTGAGTGCTGGGTCCTATGCCACTGCACAGGTCACAGGAGCCATCAGGGAGTGTGCACAGAAACACTGCTCTGGGGTGATCCGAACAACAGGGCTGAATCTGTGGAAAGGAGAAAAACTGGAGAAAGCGGAGTCCTGGGATGGGAATAAGGACAAGGGTGGTTGGTTAGACAGGGCCAAGGAAGCGCTACAGTGAACTCCTGAAGAGGGTTTGTGTCACCCAGACTCCCAGACTAACCGAGGACACCAGAGGCACAGCAGAATGTGCTCACTAAGGGGCTCACACTATTGCTAAATGAGACAAATATTTTTTTTTTTTTTTTTGAGTTGGAGTCTCACTCTCGCCCAGACTGGAGTGCAGTGGCACGCTCCTGGCCACTGCAGCCTCGACCTGCTGGGTGCTCTGGCGATCCTTCCATCTCAGCCTTCCAAGTAGCTGGAACTACAGGCATGCACTACCACGCCCAGCTAATTTTTGATTTATTGTAGAGATGAGGTCTCACCCAGTTGCCTAGGCGGGTCTCGAACCTGTGGACTCAGGCAATCCACTCACCTCAGCCTCCCAAAGTGCAGAATTACAGGCTGAGCCACCGAGCCCGGCTGACAAATATTCTTTTTATTCTCTTATTAACAGAGGAAGAAACTGCCATTTTTCTTCTGAATGCCCGGAGAAGGCACTGTGCAGTGGGAACAGAGGGCGCATCTCATGGGTGTATGTGGTCAGGCCTAATCACTTACGATCCTGCCTGATGAAGTGTGCATTCACCTTCCTGTCCAG